GTCAGGAATGCGAAATCCTAATGCCAATCCTCTCGAGATCGCAGGAACGATCCGAGGCAGGTGCGTCGGTGTAGGTTCAACGTCTCGCGTCGCGATAAGCCGATCGTGATCGTAAATACCTAGCGTGGTTATCGCTCTTTACCATGTCCGGGGATCCCTTTGATAAATTCGCAACTCGTCGAGCGATATCGCATCGCGTACGAGAGTCAACACGGTTTCTTGATTTAGGTCTAACGTGGGACGTCGCGATTCCTCCTTCCGGTCCCCGTCGATCCATGCCAGATCGAGAGTTTCGAGACGCGCGACAGGGCGATGAAATTCGTCGACCGAATCGTAATTCGTCGGTAATATAAATACGCGCGGACAGAGGTGGAGCGTAGGTCGACGTGACGGTCGGATGAATGGGCTCTCGCGGGCGTACCTGTTTCGAGCACGTGTCGTCGCGGAGAGAGAATCGGTGGCTGTCCTGGCCGCTGTGTTTACGGCGTTCGCGCCGGTCGCGAGCGGAGACACTCGGGGCGGCGCGTACGCGTTACGCGTTACACGCTCGGTACCGCGTACACCGACTAAAAATATATCGTTATGCCATACAATTCTTGCGACGCTAAAATTGGAGAGCCAGACCCGATCCGCGGCGGAGCTCCGCCGCTCTACAACGTTTTTCGAATTCCATCGGTCCTCCGCTTGTTACGTCGCCGATACGCCTCGAGGGGTAACGCATCCTCCGCGTGCGACCACGCGTCGTCCTGTCCCTCTTCCCCTTTCCGTCCATACCGCCACCCATTTGCACCGACTCGGACGCCGGAATCGACGAAAACCGAGACGACACCAGACGCTGCCTACCGTTTGCGAATAGACTCGCGTCTCCGCCGTGCGGAGAATGCGGTTTTCCTTGAACCTTGCGCCGCGATAGTCGCGCTCGTCTGCTCGTGCACAGCGCGTTATTATTATTAATTCGCCACGCACGCGTTACGAGAATATACACGCGTGGCGTTAAATCGGTAGCCCGTTCTCGCTCGATATCCGGCCATTTCCATCGACGCTGGATCACCCGGTGGGTGGGGACGACCTCGTTCTCCGACCGCTCGTGTCCCGGTGAACGCGTGCGAATACACGCGACGCGTGACTTACGCCGGCCGATGACTCGCGCTTATTCCATCGTGCAAAGTTCTAAATAACGACGCGGACTTTCCGAAATACCCGGCGCGCGATCTAAATTCTAAATCAGGGTCAGTCGGCTCCCCGGCCGCGGGGCAAAAGTTGAAAGCACGGCTCTGCGCGGCTCCTCGCGGCTGCTCGCGGCTTCGCGCGGTCTCGCGCTGGTCGCGGCAGCGGAGCGGGCAACGGCTATTAGAAGCGACGCTCGCGGCGATTCCTCGTACACGTTCACGGCCGCTTCGTTTTTATCTCGCTGCACTATAAACCTCGCGTCGCCACCCTCCGCCTCCGCCACCCCTTCGTCGCCGTCCGTCGACTCGCGTCGCAGACGCCTTGACATCGACGACGCGCCACGTTACACCGTTCCCGGTCCGTACCCGAGCGAAATATCGAAGGATACTTTAATTATAGTATCGTCATCGATTGTCCACGCCTACCCCGTTCCGCTTCGTATTTCGAATGCGCTCGTGCAACCATCCGCCCCTCTCTCCACCCTGCCTCTTACCTGCAACACCGAAAATTAACACCGCCTGTTTACGCGGATCTCGACGCGTTCGCATCGTCGAGCGATGATAACCAGAACGATCGTTACCGCGAGCCTCGCGTTAACGTGCGCGACATTTTCCTCCTTTTTTCCCCTGCTTTTTCCCTCCCTTTTTTCCATCTCAGCCTCGGCAGCCAGGTCGCTGCCAGGTAACGGAGTCTCCACGGAGTCCGCGCGTGTATTATTCCCCGCTGTCCCGCCTGGCGAAAGAAAGGAATCTCGCGCGAGCTGTTTCTCTGGTTCCCGCGAGGGCCCTCCGCGTCCCCGGGATGCAAATTTCCCCGTTAATTCTGTTATCGAGAGGTCGACGTTCTCTCGGCTGAAACGCCGCGTTCGCTAGATCGTAGATTCGCCATCGAGCGGATATTTTCCGAGCAGAGGCGCATCTCCGCGAATTTATCTGACGGATTCCCGTTCAGCGGGAACCTGATCGAACGCCGACGCTCTGTCTCATTGGTCCGCTCGTAAAACGGATAAACCGTTTCGCGAGGAGAGATTCGTGGGTGGAGAAAATTACAGAAAGGTTGAAACGTGTTACTTCGCTTCGATCCGGGAAAAATCTGCCGCGGGTGGTCCCTCTCTCGAGGATGCTGTAGAAAGAATCGAGATTCGTTCGATGTTGGGTTTCAATCGCGTCGGAGGTTCTCGATTTGACGGACAATTCGTGAACATCTTCGGGTGGCACGCCAACCGGACCATGTTCTACGAAATTTTCGAATTAGGTATAGTAGGTTAAATTACGATGAATGGGTACTGCGTTGCGGGACGAAATGATTACACGCGCTCTGTAATTTTTAGCGTTTCTTGGAACCAGTGCAATTATGTAAATGTCGCACACGTAGCCATGTAATGTATCCCGGTCTTTAATCCTTTACAGACGTTATAACTTGTAATAAACTTCTAGAGGTAATAAATTCGAGGTAAATGTTTTAAGTGGAAATACCAACGACGATGACGAAAATGATGATATTCGTGGTATTCGATTTGACGAATAAAAATGCACCGGTACGAAAACATCGAATCAACGAGATCTCATTTTTTGCAGATGAAGAGGCTTCTTATATACTGCTACCACGTTAGGTTTAAGAAATAAGTAAAGAAGTACCATCTCGATCTTTGCTGTATTTACTTCGAAATATTCTAAAAATAATACAAAAATTTTAAATTCCATCTATTATCCTAGAAGTACGCTATCATTTTGCCTAATACTCCGCAAACTGATACCAAACTCGATCAAGCACTGCTCGGTGCCTCTCCAAAACGAGTGAAACGAAAGAGAAAACCTGAGGAAAATCGAGACTCGCTGAATTACACCGTTCTATTGGACATCCCATTCATACCTCACCTTCTCGACGCGTATAAATCTTCCCCTTTCTCAACAACCAAGTGCAAGTGTCGCATGCATGAGAACCGCTTCGGCATCCTAGCGAGTGCTGGTATTCGGAATAAACGTGAGTTTGGCGTTTGTAGACGGCGCTCAACAACCTGGAGGAGATGCAGCACAATTCCATGGTGTACCGCAACAACGAGAGGGGCAGGAGCATGGGGGTTGGCCCGATGCGGTCTCGTCCGATGGAGAAGAGGCACGACACCTCGCCGTACAGCGGCGTGCCGTACCTCTCGCCACCGCCAACCGACACATGGAGAAGAACGAACTCGGATTCGGCGCTGCACCAGAGTGCCAACGAAGCCTGCCAGTCAGCCACCACCATCCCTCATCGACGAGGTATAGTCCGACCTTCTTTCTTCGACTTCCGTTTCCAGCCTATTATCCTACGAACCGTGCGTAGATCGCGGCTTTCCACGGAGATGCAGTTCTTCCGCGTCCCTAACCTCTCGTCGTTAAATCCACGTTGCGAGGTGAATCGTTGCTAGCTTCCACTCGTTTCCGGGGATCGAGCTTTCCCCGAGTTTAGGTATGAAAGAGTACCGTTGGTTCGTACCCTAACCGACGACGAAGATCTCGCGTGCATAAACTGGTAGCCATCGTGCTCGCGGATCTCGAACGTCTCTGTCGTTTAGGTATGAAAGAGTACCGTTGGTTCGTACCCTAACCGACGACGAAGATCTCGCGTGCATAATGCATAGTCCGAATAGGTTGCGATGAACGTATCACGGGTCAGTTCTTCAAGGCTGACGCGTGGTACCTAATTTCCTATCACGTGCTGGGTATTTCAAACGATATAGATATAATGTTCCACGTTTAGAGTAAACACCGAGATATCTCCAAGCATTTATTTTTAGCCCTGGCATGTCGAAGAATTAAACTTATTCACAACCGGTTTTCCGAATATTTTTGCACTAGGTAAGCAATTAAAGCCGACAGAGCGGTAGTCATCATGCCCACGGTAATCGTTTATTAAACAACAGCTAGAGATCTCCAAGCATCTATCTTTGAATCAGGACTGTCGAATAACGAATTTACTTACGACCGGTTTTTCACGTATTTTTGCGAGATTGGCAATTATCCTCGTTTAGAAATTTCACAGCCGAAGATAATTGGAACGACGTCGACATCCGGGGTCAAAGGTGTGCAAGTACTACGCGGCCGGAGCTTCGCGAAGTCAGTCGCGTCTATGGAAATAAGGACGCAAGCGATGGTCGCTAATTAGAACTAAGTGGATTTGTCCACGGAGTCACGGTGTCGGCGCGATTCCTCCGGTTCTCCGCGGCCTGCGGATCTATCGCCTCGCAGACACGCGTTTTCAAAGCCGCTCCTCTCCTCGGCTCGGATCTGCTTCGTGGAAACGCTTTTCCAGCGTCACGGTGCGTTTTAACGATGCCGACCACGCTGGAAAACGCGCGAGCAGGCGCCGGTATTCGCGGAAAAAATGCGCCAATCAGCCTGCCGCTTGTTAACCCGCGGCAAACCGAATTGCAGTGTCGCGAAGCGTCTTTACATCGGAAAACGCGCGTCACATGGACGCGACGAATAGTCAATCCGAGGGATATCCGATCCGATATTCGCTGCAATTCCATCGATTCTCTGAACCCTCCACGGCGACTTTCCTTCTTCGAATCGCAGCTGGTTCATCCTCCGGTTCTCTAGAATCCTTCCAATTCTCCTCTTCCTCTTTCGCGACTGCACGTACGAGCTCGTCCTTTTTCTCGGGATTACCCGGGTCGTTCTTTTCCACCCTCGACACCCTCGACACCGTGGCAACGGCGGTGTAAATAAAATCGGACGGTTGGCGCGAAGCGTGGCTAATCCAGGACGTAATTTTAGAGCCATTAAGTTGCTGGGATAGGTCTGCAGAAAAATGTAACCCTTCGCGTGTAATTAACGCTTTCAGCGGGTAAATGATTCCTGCGCGCATTATTTCGGGGATTATCGCCAACCCCTGCGACTGTGCAGCTCGTCTGAGAAATTCCCTCGTTATCGCATTACCTCGTTACCTCGTTCTACGTGCATACCACCTCGAGTGTGCTGCCTCGCGAATTTTCCACCGAGATCATCGAGCTCGTTTCCCAGCCTGATCGAGGATCCATCGACGTCTCTTTATTCCCGTTGCTCGTTCCGAGGATCGCGTCCATGGTGGAATAAATCTATCCCGCGTTCCATTCGGAGAGATCAGCGCTCGGCTCCGACGCGCACTGGTCGGTGAAGTATCGGTGGTGCAAGGAAAGTGGGACATTTTCATAGGGAACGAGGAGTTATTAAGAGTTTCCTGCGAAAGCTTTCGAATTTACGGAGCGCGAGGCGGGTCATTGGCCGGGGACAGGTTTTCCGATTCCGCTCGCTCCGGTATACGCGGCTTCGATGATTCCCTCTTAATCTGCCAGCGACCCACGACACGAGGGGGTCGGAACTGAAACGTTATACCCGTAGTAATGTTAGCAACTAGCATTACACGGCGTTACGTTGCGAAATCGGACGCCAGCCTTGGCTCTGCGTATCGCGTGCATCATCCTCGGGCTATGGCACGTTTTCGGGTCGTAGCTGCTCCACCCTTGACGAAGCTGCGACCAACTCGAAACGAACACTTTTGGGCAATTTTTGGGGACTTTTTCCAATTGTTAAAAGATCGACGGAGATCGACAGAGACGGACTAAAACTCGTTGTCATTTTACATGTTGCGTATTCGCTGTGCTCAGATCAACACACCGTGAGCGGGTCCGGGAGCGACAACAGAGACTTGCCTTACCCATTCATCGAACGACCAAGATCGTCCTGCGAAATACCTAGAGTGCCTGGAAGCAAGTAAGGCTCTTTCTCTCTCACTCTCTTTTCGCCGACCACTCGTGCCAATTTCGCATCGATTGCGATTAGCAATCCTAAGAAAAGACGGCTGAAATTTCGCGATCTCGCGGAATATCTCTTCTTGATAGTACACGCTCTATTGTTGCGCGCTCGGTGTATGCATTATTTATGCGTCGTGGCTATTATACTGCGTTTCATTGTATCCGCGGCGCATTATATCGCACATACTAATGCGCTCGTGCACGGAGTTTATATAATTTTGAATAGGCACCGTCCGGCGTGTCCTCGGGGCAGTCTTCAATTTTAACGCATTCGCCATACTTATCGAAGCTTCTTTATTATTATTTTTTCATTTCTTTTTCTTTTTCTTTTTTTTTTCTTTCTTTTTCCTTTTTCTTCTCATTTATGTTATATTCGCAGTGAACATCGTTCTCGGAACGATGACAAGCGAGTTCGGGACTTTGCGCTTTCGCTTTACGCTCGGGAAACATTGACATTGGTCGTGGTGGTCGCAGGAATGGCTGGCGCCTCGAGAATCTGACAGTTTCCAAAGGTTCTCGAGCGTTTCCCAAGCCCTCGTAAACGCATCGATTTCTGATTGGACCGCGTATTTGTCTTGCAGCATAGATCCGAGCTCTCAGCCACCGGGACAGCAAATTCCCATAGGCAACACGCGATCGTTGCCCGACCTGGCCCACTTCCAGTCGGATCAAGAGGATCACTCGAGCAGTACGCCGTTCAGCAACGTAAGTCCGTCCAATTACGTCCCTTCCGCGCCTATCCGTCTCTTTTCATCTCTCACGAGGCTGCACATTTTCGTACCACTTCTTTTACCATTACCACAGTCGCATTTTCTCTTGCTCTCTTTCTCTATCTCGCTCGTCTCCGAAGAAAACTCCTGTGTCTCTCTCTCTCTCTCTCTCTCTCTCTCTCTCTCTCTCTCTCTCTCTCTCTCTCTCTGTCTCTATCCGTCAACTCGATCTCTCAAACTTGGACCCTTGGACCGAACGAAACAGGACTTTTCTTCGAACGACGACCAAGATCGAAGAAGAATTTAGAAGTTAAAGAGACAGGTGGTGTCATGTCGTGTCGACTTTATGATAAAATGCGCTCGTAGTCGCGTCACGGACCACGTTCCTCCGTTCTGTTCACAGTTCTCATCCCGTTCCACATTGAGTCCCTTTCTCTCACCTTTATCCCTCCACCCGGATCGTGTCCGTGTCATATCAGGTAGCGTCACTTGTGGCACAAAAGCCTTAGGTAGTCTCTGCCTCGAAGGAGGAATCTGTTTTGAAATGGTGTACCGCTGGTGTATTCCAGAGTCGTCAAACGAGCAGTCCCACAAACCTGTCGCCGACCAGCTTGCCCCAAGCTGGGAGGCTATCCTTTTCGCAGGATCAGACCAGCGCCCAAGTAAATATCCTTGCGACCCCGTACAGTACACGGTATCGGGCTCTTAGAGAATGTTGCTGCACCTGCCAAGCAGTCGATAGCATTGTGTCTTTCCGTGCCATTCACTTTCATCGATCCGGCCACTGTTCGCCACTTCCAAGAACCGGGAAATTTGTTTTCCGCCGATTACACCGGAAGTTACGAGATTTTCCAATAACAATCGATGTTTCTGTCACGAGGAATGGAGAGACACGGTGCGTTCGGCTACGTGTCGGATTAGAAATCAGTATTACGGGATCGAGGCATCTTTCCACGATCGTTGGACCATGGTCTATGCCAATGACCAGAAAAATCTTTCACCCTTCGAGGACTTACTCGCTTTTCTCTTTAATTCCATTTTATTATTTTACTAAAATCGGTTCCAAGCTTTCTTTCATACCATTGGAATGTTGCGACTCGTTTGACACGAGTTCCCTTAAAATTTAAGTAAACTATTGCACGCGTTAGAAATATTGGTAATAAAAGTTAGAAGAAACGAAAAAATATTGGGGAATTTTATATAACTCTAAGGATTAATTCCTTTTTTTTAAATAAACCCCTTTTCTTATAACATCGTGCGAGACTCGTGGTAAAGAAATGGGTACCATCGGTAAGAACCGTGGTTCGTGGACAGGGCCCAGAAAGATGCCTGGTCCCTGTAAAGCTAGTTAGCTCGTAAGAACCAGAAACGGCTGATACATGCGTAGTGTTGCATGGAGGAAGATGTTCTGTGCTTTTCTGTGCTTCGATAACCACCACAGTGTCCCGAGAACACGGAGCTTCCGGTCCCACGGAATCGTGATCGCGCAACGTTGATCGCGATTTACGGACGATAAACTCGGGGTATCGAAGATCGGCACAGCGATTTCGTCTTTCTACGCGTAGCTTATCGCCGCGGACTGTTACGAAACGCTCGGATCGGTAAAGTGTTTTACTTTGAACGTAATCACCGTGGCATGCCGCTCGGCTCGCGAACAATTTCGATAGAGTGCCGTTATTATTCTCCGATGGAGCAATCTCGGCCACGGTTTGTTAATCGTTATCTAGATTAATCGTTGCCTGGCTGAATATCGATTCCACTCTGCATCGCGGAATTTCGTTACGAGCAAGTTCTCTCGCGAGGCACTCAATTCGACACGAAACGTCGAAAATTCTTCTTTCTCCCTTAACACCGGGACTACCAGCTTCTAACGTGTACTTCAACACTATTGACAGCTATCGAAACGATACTGTATACGATAAACGGTCATTAACTTGGTCAAAAAGTAATTAAATAATTAAAGTTTCAATCCTTTGCACTCGAAGAGTTTTTCGCTGTAAGGATATAACAATTCGTAGCTTTTCTTATACTTCTCTACGCTCGATGATATTTTTCCCATTTATGCCAAGATAAAAAAGTAAAAAAGAAAATCACGTGTATTCGTTTCAATATTTCATGCATAATTACTCCTGATCTAATTGGTGCCCCATATTGGAGGTATTAAAAGAAACAAGGGCAAGAGTGCGAAGGGTTAATACTTCGAAACGAGAAACACGTGACCTTGACTAACGTTCAGTAGGTTAGGAATACTGTTGATATTGTTTATTATAAAAATATTTTTTGACGCTATTTATTGGCCGCCAAAGTATCGCAGCGAAAAAAGGAAGAAAAGTTTGAGGTTATGTTCGGTAGTCCCGGTGTTAACAGATGTTGGCTGTCCCAAGGACGATGCATGCTCTTTCCATGTGAAAGGACTCGATTAACGTTAACGAAAGATCGACTTCGTCTCGATCGTTCGAGCAAACTAGTGTCAGCCTCCAGTACGCTTAGCGGCCATCTTTAATTTCGTTTTATTTTTATTTTGCCTTTGTTGTAGTGTTTGTTTGTGTTTGTTATTTTGCAGAACCATTTATCAGTGCCTGTTAACCCTAGGTTCCTTCACACGTGTAAGGTTAGTGGTCACTTTTGTTCTTGCGCTTACAGCGACGCCGCGTTTCATTTCGACTGTCTTTTCTTTCTCTTCGGGCTCCTCTTTTTTCCCCAATTTTCTTTCTTTTTTTTTCTTTTTTTAATATCGTTTCGCTTGTTAACAAATACCGAGCTTGCGAGACAGAGCAGTAGTTGATGAGCACGCGTCGCCGGAAGAAAAAGTCACGGATTACCGCGTCTCGGGCACGAATTCGACCCATAATGCCGCGGTGTCAACGTCGAGAGAGTAGCAGAAGTCCTGCACTAAAAGTAGAGCTCGCGTTGACACGCGATCGGGGCAACTACCCCGTTCAGTTCTCGAGGCAGAAACGCGCGGGCAGAATTTCAAACGCGAAATACGCGAAGAACGTCCCGTCGAGATCGTCGCAGGCGGAAACGTCGATCGAAAGTTTCAGCCGCGTAAATGGAAAATGTTTGTCCTCCGCTTCCGAACTCGTTTTCTTCCTCTCAAGGTTATTTCACCGTTGCTCGCAACTTCCGTATCGTCGGATACGACCCGACAATTTTTTCGGCTAAATGAATCCGATCTCTTCGCCAATCTCATTCGCATTCGCGCGGGAAAAACGAAGCTTTATCGATCGGGTAGACGTCGATCGTTCAAGATGGCGGAGCTCGGTCCACGCGAACCGACAACGACACTAAATTCGATAAACATTCGCTTGATTCGCGATTGACCCTTGGAAGGCGAATACTTTTGGGCCCGTTTTGACTCGTAAACTCTAGCAATCTAGTTTTGAGATGCAGGATGAAGAAATTGTTCTGTTAAAATCTTATTAACACATTGCGTACTGCACTCTACTCGCGCAACGAGCTTCCAGGACCCACACCTTTTGGGCATCTAGAAATACTTCGCATTTGATATTATATTCGCATAAGATATTCTTAAATATTACTATATATTTTTTATACATCTTTTTTAACATTTTAACTATTATTTATTTTACAAACTTGAATAATTCTTTAGAGTATGATATCTAGCGAAGTATTCTCCTTTGTGCAATGGTGTTTGGCACAATTTGCAACTATATCTGGTTTCGAGACTTCGTTACCCTGGTAACGTAACAAGAAAATCTATTTTTGATTCCTTAAATCATCGATCGAGTCGAAGAAACCTGAAAACGAGATATCTCGTCGCCACAAAGTTCGGCTTGCTAAAGACGATATATCTCGTCACCCATACGCAATGTGCTAAGAAAGATTACTGAAAATATCTTCTGTACGCTTGATACGTAAAATGGGCGCGTCTTTTGTATAATTCCTACGAGTAAAAAGATGCGTAAGATATTTCGCGAGGATTCTAGTATTACTTCCTTCAAGAAGTTCAAGCATTTCGCTACAAACCGTAACAAAGTTGGATACTCGAGCGATAAGGAACATCCTCATCGTCGCGGTCACGAGTCCAAGCGGCCTTGTATTGGTCTTACAAGCGTCGAGATGAAAATTAAACCGACGGAGGAAACGAAAAATGCCTGCAAAGGACGATCTCGACCCCCATTTTCGCGTAAATATCGCGGAGATGGCCATCGAGTGCAGACGCGAGTGGCGGTCGCGGTGAACCGCGATCCCGTGACTTTGGATGTTCGAAATCGGCATAGCAATCGATTGTGCGAGCTCGCGTAGGCTGCCGCTGCTAACCATTCAGAGGCTGGCTAGTCGAAGGAAAAAAGCGAGGGCCGACCGATCGTTAATAGCGATGCCTATGAAACACAGGGTGTGGCGCTAGAAAACAGCACAAGTACTTCGCAACAGGATCTTCAGAGCTACTCGCAACAACCGGTGCCTCAGCCACCGACGGCGACGTCCCACAGTCCAGCTGGCCACTACATTTATCAGCAACCGCACAGTCCTGTGCCACCGCAAAGTCCAGTTAGTATATCACGTTATTTCGTTTGCTCCTTTCCTCTAACTAGATTCCTCTGCGATTTATGTCGTACGCCAACTCTCCGTTCCCAAGCTGCCGCGAGTAGCTCGTGGAACGATTTCAAAGGCACGGCTTGGCACGAAATCTTTCGCGTCGAGATGATCGGCTACAGCGTTTTTAGCTTGGTCCCTTTGGATCAAACGATTCGCACCGCCGCGGGGTTAATTGGTCCCTCAGTCGCGTGCTTGCTAGTAGAGGGTTCCTCGACGCTGAAAAGAATCGTTGCTGAAGCTGTCCCGCTTCCCTTAACACGATGATCCTTCATGTGTCTCTTCGTAGAAGTCGTCGCAGACGCAGCAACCGCAGCTCAACTCCTTAGGCTCGTACAGATCCTCGCAGCAGGTGAACAGGCCGTCACCTCAGTCGTCGCCAGGGCTAACGATTCAAGTAAGTTTCTCCGCCTAACTTTCTTAACCTTCCACGTTTTTCCCCTTACTTCCGTTTGATCGATCAGCCACTCAGACCGATCCACTGGGAGTTTCTCTGAAATCTAAAACTTTCGCTTCGTGGCAGAAAGATGATAAACACCTGCGAATTGATTTGTACCGCAGACCTGTCTCCTCTTCTCTACCAAGTGGAGTGCAAAGGATTAACCCTTCAGTAGCCATTTGATAAAATTTCGAAGCTCGATATTCATTGATATGTCAAATTTCAGATAATGTAACTATGTGCGAGGTATCGAAATCAAATAATTCTACGTGTTAATTATCATACGACTTCTTATTCATTGCTCAGAAAAATATCGTCAGCTTTGTGACAGAAAATCTTCGAACTCCTATTCTTCTCTAGCCAAAACATCGTCGAGTGCAAAGGGTTAACTCTTTGCCTTGTCACATTTTATCATTGTATTAAAAAATTCGCGAAAAATACAGGAACGTCCGTATGTCACTCCGGTGCTCGAGGGGTATGAAGAAAAATTTATTTCCCATACCTTTCGCGTATCGCCTTGCGTATACGCGTTCGGGACATTCGGCCTGTATATTGCATGTGACGCATAGTTGGTTCGTGCGATACAGCGAGCTCGTAAATCATCGTATCTAACGGCGCTCTCGATTGATACCGAAATCGCATTCCCGATATTGCCAACAGCTAAAATCGCCTGCTATTCGTAAATGAGTCGCAATACTTATCAAATCGATTTCTCAAAATTCGAGAGGTCAGTCACTTTGGCTCGTGAACGATTCAGACCCCTGTCAAATTAATCAACTCTCGCTTGGATCATTAACACGTTAAGTGCCACGCTAGACTTTCCGTTCGGGCCCGATCAGTCCTCGAGGAACCTTTAAGTTCCTATTACACGACCACGAAAACAGGATAAACAAAGGTGTGGTTTGGATTTCCATTCGTTACAAAGGTGCTAACTTTTGGTGTTTTAAATTCTAAATTCGTATTCTAAATTCGTCGCCATCTTTGGACCTAACGTTTGGGAATTCCTGTTATAAGAATTGGTACAGTATCTCCGAGTTTGATGAACCTTGGGCCCACTTGTTGGCCGGGTCTGGGCCTGAACGGAATAGCAAGCAAAACGGGCTGGGCACTTAACGCGTTAACTAACTATCGCAAGATCATATTCCATATATCGGGTGTCTAAAAGAATTTAACTAACTTCCCGGTAAACTATCGCCAAGAGACCGACTCTGAATGTACACGGTACCGATGTACGATATCAAATTGACCGATTGTACGACCGCTGTCATCACTCGAACCATACGAGGCGAACGCGAGAATCGAACGACGAAGAAATGATTGAAAATTAACCCAAACCCTTGGAATCTGTCATCGATCGCAGGGCAGCCCGTTGAGTTACAGCAATAATCCATCGGCGCCTCCTAGTCCCACAGGCCATCCAGGTCCGCCGAACCTGGCGTCTGAGAACATCGACCAGAACAGCTACTTCCTGAACCAGGCGCAGGCAGCGGCGCTTCAGCAGACACTTCACGATGGTTAGTGAAACGCGTCCGTTCCTTGTCACCGCGGTCGCGTTCTCAGTCACCGTGTCTCGTGCTCTCGTTCCTTGGCAACGATCCAACACGATGCGTTCGGTTTCAGTCCACGCGAGACGATTTCGCGTTCTCTGAATGGCAAAGTATCCTCGGACGCGGTTCCACCGATGCGTCCCGATGCGTCGTCCGGTTCACCGGACTCGCGGCGTCGCACGAGGCATCCTCGAGGCTCACCCTCGTGCCCGGACAGCGACGCGATCCGCTCGTAAACAACGGCTTCGCTCGCCTTCTTTCATTGCTCGTTGCGCGCAAGCTAAATCGATAGCGTCCAACCACCGTGCTTGAGAAATTTCAACACCGTACGCGGCTGCAGCACGCGTGCTTCGCGTGACACCGTGCTTCCGCTTTCTTTTCCGCTCGAGGCTCGCTACGAGCTTTTCAGGAAGAACGAGGCGCAATTTTCGCGAAATCGTGACGTACATCGCGCGTACCTTACGTTTATCCGGGGTATTTTCCGTTGACCGAGAAATTTCCACCACTCCTTCGGACTCTACGCGTTACTTCCGGTCTCCTTTCTCACAGGAATTTAACCCAGGAGTCGCAGAAGACACGCTTTTCGCCGTTTTACGAAATCGTGATACACTCGTGTGCAATTTATCGGGAGAATTACTCGAGCAATTTCGAGGATTCCTTTGGGCCTTGGTTACTTCCGCTTTTCTTTTCCGCCAGATACTCGTCTTGCGGTTCAGAATATACGGAATACATCGCGATTTGTGTATATAATTTATCCACAGAACTGTTCGAGAAATTTCGCCGATTCTTTTGGTTTCCCAAAGTTCGTATCATACATACGTTTCGTGGTTTTACGGAATCGTGATGTACAATTATACTCAGAAGGAGGGTGCAAGTCCTTCGGGTCATTGATTTAGTTGACACTTTGCGGGTTTGTAGATTTAGTTTAGCAACTATTCGGTAGTTTTTGAGATATTTATGATTCAAGCTTTATTATAATAACTAGAGATTTCTTCCGAATAGTTATCGATAGTTATCAAGTGGCATTGTGGCCTGATAGCAACATCGTGGCAACAAATTGCCACCAACGTGGGAATTTTCGGACGTCGCCATTATTCCACAACGACATTTGATAAATATTCGAAATAAATCTGTAATTAACCCCTTCCCGTACTATTTAGCTCGACGAAATCCGGATCCAAATAGTGGACGTGAGCTCGAAAATATTCGCAATACGAGTCGAAATGTATATCGATACGTATGACATAGTCAGTTTTACGCGGTACTGTTATTGTGGAAGTAAACTCTAATCCTTTTTCCTTTTATAAATATTATAAATATATTATATTTCGTAATAGATGACAGTTTCGAAACTGTATTCAGAAAAATGTTCTGTTCACGAGTCTGGCTCGTGATATTCGTGTTTGGACCAAAGTCTTCATCACGAGTCAGACTCGTCATTGTACGGGAAGTTTTATTAAGGCAATAATAAAACTCTGATCATAAATATCTCGGAAACCATCGAATAGTTGCCATTATAACGACGTATTTTCTCGAACTGGATGACTAAATCTACAAACCTGCAAAGTGTCAACTAGATGTATGACCGAAAGGATTCGCACTCTCCTTATCGATTTATCCAAAAAAGTATTCGAGAAATGCCAGCTCGTTCGAGACATCGCAAGCCTGGATTGGATCCCGGGATCTCGTAGATCGCGCAGACTCGCTGAGAACCGCGTTTTAATCGGATGGTACTTGTCTGTTTGTGCATACGGAAGGGAGTGGTAAGTACGCGAGCAGTTATCGTTTCGTTTGCGTAAGATTCACGGATGCCGTTGAGTGTGTACAATTTTTTCCACGTTCCTTTACGCAGAAGCATTCCACGCTTACAAATCCGCAGTGCGTGATACGCAACATCCATTCGACCTCGGCGACGCTTTTCTCTCTTTGTTTTCCGAAACGCGTGTCGGACTGCGACGATTTTTAGGTTCTACCACGCGACGAACGCGTATCGAGATATCCTTGAGACGCTTGATCGCTGCTATGATTTACTACGCTCGCGGTTCTCATTCGTTTCTTTGGATCCGTTTTTTCCCGTTCGTCTCCCCGGAAGATCACGATTTCCCGCGACCGCGGCTCGTGGATTTGGCTCGCGAGCATGCGCCATGTTCCCGCGGCGGTGACTAACCTTCGCGGGCTAAGCGATATGAATTATTCCACGCGCACGAGTTAGCGCGAATTACTCCGTCACTCTCGCTTTTGGTATGCCTTCCGTTTTCGTCCGACGGGCATCCCGTCGATCGAAAAGGCGGCTAATTATACGAGTTAATAATCCATGAGCCGCCGCCGGTGTAGCCGCGCGCATTGTTAGCCGTCAACCGGTGCGACGTATCGGTGACCGATCGACCGTGTCTTCGTTTCGAGAACCACTCGCGGTTGCCAAAGTCAGCTGGAACAACCTTGTCGTCTCGAACTTGCTTTTCCGCGCGATTTCTGCATGAGTCTCTGACTTTCCTTTAACTCTCTCGTTTCTCGTTGCCATTCGTAGCGAAGAAATTTTTCAGCCGATTCCGCGGTGCATCCTCTCAGACGCGCGCTTCTATTGGACCGCCGGCACCGGCCATATAGCGAGACACGATATCGCCTTCTTCTAGAGACCTTTCTCGTGTCGCTCTCGAAAAAAAAGAAAAAGCAAACTATTTTTTAAAACTCTCTCGTTGTGCGATACGATTGAAATGTTAAGCCTTGATGTTTATCTGTTGCCCGCATCCGTCAGGATTGGCCGAAATTCGCGCAGCAGCTCATGGAACTTGGTTGCACCTGGAGCACGCAGATAGAGGTGAAATAACGCCCTTGGCAAACTATATGAACTTCATCCTTCTCTCACACCCCTCGACACGTCGAGCATCCACCCTCTACTCGCGAACTCTCGCGTTCTACGCGCCGTCGTCTACTATGCTATACTCCCCTCGTTATTTTCCCTTTTTCTTTTTCGTTCTCGTAACCAGCCAACGACCGATCGATGTTTGCGGTCGCGTTACAGCAGCTAACGGCGGCTATCACGGTGTTCAGCGGCACTTCCACCGCGACATCCGCCGTTCGCCAGGCCGAAATTCGATCGTCGTCGCGATAATTGGGCATATCCCGGGGGCGCAGGAACGCGGCGGACGTCGCTACGATTTAATAAGAAAGCGCTCGTTCCACCGTTTACGTCCCGCTATCTCCGCCTCGTCCCATCGGCCGGCCGTAAAGCGCCGCGATAGCGCGGGACCCCGTGCTAAAATTTGCAAAACGACGCCGCTTTACGACGGATACCGAGGCTGTAAAAGATGGACGATAAGACGTGAAAATTCACGTGTGGCTCACGAGGTCCACTCGCTCGGCCCCGATACCACGGCGGCGCGAGTCGCCGCGTTATCGATACCGCGATCGCGTATTACGATGCGCGTGTTCCCGCGAAAATCGTTTTGGCACAGCGTGATGCCCGATTTCCCCCAAGCGAAAATCGAACGGGGAACGATAGAAGGGAGGAGAACCGAGATAAATACAGAGATTTCTCTGTCCCCTCTGCCAGAGATACCCGTGGAATTTTCGTCGAGAGCGATTAAAGGCTAATAATGTCGTTACCACGAACTCAGCCGGAGGTTTAGGAAAACGTTAATGACTAATCCCAACGGAGAATCCACGAATAAAACCGCTCACGGTTCGATTCCATCCGCCTTTTGTTTCTCCCCTTCTTCCGCTTCTTCTCACCCCTCGCGCTCTTCCCTCACCCTGTTTTCCATCTTCGCGGCTCTTTGTTCCCCGTTTCATCCCCGTTTCATCCCCGTTTCATCCCCCCGCATGGCATCCTCTCGGAGCTCGATCGTTCACGGGAAGAAACGCGATGCGATGAACGCGCGACTATCGAGCCGATCGAGCGTCCCACGGATCAAGCTCTTCCGCTTTCGCTCTCCTCTTCTTCCTCTCGACCGAGATATCCCTCTTTTGGCTCGCTGCAACAGCTCGCGTCTACGAATACCGATCCACGAACCATCGCACTCATCCGGTTTTATTTTCTCTTTTTCGCTTCAGATGGACACGCCTGTGCCACCCAACATGATTGGAACGTATATCGGTTCGCCGAATCATACCACGAATTACACGCAGGTGAGCTGGCACGATTCTTCCTCCTCGCGACGTAGAACGCGAAGGAAACTCCTCGAGACTCGTAATTCCCTCGGATATTCATTTTCTTTTTCTTCGTCGACCTTTATTTACGCTTCTTCGCGTAATTGTTACCTAATTGATTTACTGGAGTACGAGTCTCGAAGGTAAACCGACAGCCGCTAGAAAATTGATCCAAGTACGATCGACGGGCCCTCTGTGCCGGCTGGATTTAATGGTAAAGTAGTGAGACTCGTGACGCGCATGTGGTACAATTCTGTTGGAATTCCTTTACAGAACGACACGATAAACATCGGTGGTGAATTGGGCAGCGGAGATGCCGATTATTTCAACACGAGTCCGCAGATGCCGTATCAGTCTACGACCACGACCACCACCAGCAACAACTCAAACACCACCCAGCAACTCACGCCACAGACGCCCAACACCCCTACGATCATCCTCACTGGTGTGTTCCCATGAAATTAGCGCTTGTGTACAGAAAATTCTTGTCTCTCTGCGGAACGAGGGATGAAACGCGGTCACTTATCTACTATAGAAACGAATAGCGTGTTGTTAACCCTTTTGCTCTGAGGAAGAAACCTATTCTCTCAAATGTATCATAAACCCATTGATCACGATGATTACATTTTGTCAGGAGTACCTCGGACAAAGGGATTAACCCTTTGCGCTCGAGAGGCAACTCTCAGTCGCCATTTAATCAGATTCCAAAGATCGTTGTTAATTAATATCTCGAATTTTAAATTACCCAACGACGCGTGGAATATCGAGGTAAAATAATTCTACGTCTCACAATTAATTTGCACTTCTTATTTACCGTTTCGAAGATATCGTCGACTTTGTGGCAGAAATTACTATATTTCTGTTACGAATAGATCGCCGAGTGCAAAGGGTTAAGTCTTTAAGTACCAGAGATCATTGGAAAAGTCGTATCGTTTATTTCACAGTAACGCAATCGCGTTTTGTTCCTCTCGAGTATCAATAAGAGTCGGAACACGTCGCGGTAGAATGGTACTTATCGATACTGACTCCGAACACGCGATCGTTCATCTTTAATCTCGAGTATCGGAAACAAAGGGAAGACACTGCGATGGGACTAGCGATCGATCTTGCTTCATTTATCCGCGCTTTGTTTATCTCGCGTGTCATCTGCATCGGTAGGAAGAAAATGGCACTTTGGAGCGCAGAATCGTGATATTACCGCGTGGCTCTCGGCCGGTTATTACGTGGCTCTCGGCCGGCAAACTTGACTCGAGAGATTGTATAATAATTTTCCTTCGCAGACTTCTCCGGGGCAGACGACCTGACGAACCCAGAATTCGTGAAAGACCTCGGGACAGCGATGATAGGCGACTTCGACCCAGATCTTCTTCCATCGGACGACAACCCCATCGACATGGATGGTCTACAAATGCTCACCGACCCGACGATGGTTATATCCGATCCTAGCGCCGAAGCCCATTTTAGGCGGGATCGACTTTAAGGCGAGACATTTTACTCATTTTCGATTATGCGCTGACTATATTACGTAGGAAATACGAATTCTTATCTGTCCTGGTGTCGCGATTTATTCTTGGGACACTTTGACAAATGGGACGAGTCTTGTTCGCGGCCGTCGATGCGCTTCCAACGGGAAGTCGTTTTTCTGCCAACATGCGACAGTCGCTACACCATCGTTGTCGTTGTCGTCGTGGAAAAATGAGAAAAGGGAAGACCGTGGGTCGACCGAGACGATCGGTGAACACGATCTATGGTCTCGTATACGGCTCGTTACGAGAAACCGTGTAACTAGGGGGTCAAGCAGCGAAATGCTACGCCCGATCGCTAGCCTCGAAGACGAATAATCGACCAGACAAAACGTATTCGCGTTGGAAACCTCGTCCATCGACCAGGCGACACTGGTGTCCCGTTCGTGATAAAACCGTTAATTGAAGATTAAGTAATACAAATCTTTATTAACCCTTTTTTTATTTTATACTACTTTGTACATTGTATCATGTATGATCTCTAAGAAGCACAAAACAAAATGTCTACTGATTTATACATGCTTTTGTCATATACGATCCTAGTAAGGTAAATGAAAGATACTACTGTTTAGGTGAAATTAACGTTTAGCGAAAATGAAAAATGGAAAAAAAGAGAAAAATTGAAGAAAAAAGAACAAAAAAACAAAAATATACAGAATACGTGGGTTGGTTATGCTCCTCATCGTCGTATCGGGGAGTACTTAACGGGGAAGAAGCTATCAAGCATGTGAAACGCATAAAGACATAGACACGAGAGAGGAGGGAGGCACCTTTCGAACGATCGAGCATTTCAGAACTTTACTCTTCACCCTTTCCTTCGTTGCGCACTTTCGCCCTGTCTGCGAGCACGATCGCCTACATTTCGAATTTCCTTCCTCGACCGGTTACCGATCGCGGTAGCCGCGCGTCGAATCGTCCCAGCAAACGATTCGTTAGTCTATTTCCCGCGTTCGAATCACGAACGCAGCGTGTTCGATTCGATTTCTGTATCATTTCCGTCGTTCGCAGTATCGCTTCACGCGGTAGATGTAAAACGAAAAAGAGAAAACCAACGTAAACAAATAATCGTTAAGAAAACGGGATAGAGAGGAAAGCAGAAGAAACGAAAGAAGAGGAAGAAGAAAAGCAGAATAACAAACGAGATACAGGAAGATGGAAGAAATAAAACCGCGAAGAGTGCAACTTTCGCGGTCGTCAATTGTTTTTTGAAAGTAATACACTGTACTTTGTATACACGTTACCATAATTCATTGGACGCGCGCGGTCGCGCCTGTCGCGTTAGACTTATTCGACTAAAGTGTAATATATAATTGAGAAACAAAAAGAGAAGATGGGAATGACGCTTATATCTGTATACAGTGTACGTGCGTAGTGGTAATCGACCTTCTTCGAGCGCCATCCGGGCACTCGCTGCTCGATCACAGCCGCGAGCGAGAGGAACGATCCAGCGAGGAAATCGGTACGCGTGTCCGTGCGGAAAAATAGGCTACATGCGATAGTATTAACAGGAATGATTCGCGAATTATTCTCGGCGAGATCTTTTGTACTCTAGAATCATCTTCGATCTCCTACCTAGCTAAACGTTGTCAAACATTGTTAAACACGTTCGCTGCGTTGAGCGAGAAAGGCGTAAGAGGATGGAAAGGACTTCACAGCGATAGTTTTAAAGTCGATCGAGTACAAAACTGTATGACGAAGATATCGATACGTGCGTGGGCAAGTATCGTGATTCGATTATTCGAGCGGAGCAGCGAGATCGACGCGATCGAGACGTTCGCTCGAATAGACGAAGCGCGATCGCAAGCCCCGATGGTTGTCGAAACTTTTTAATAGTCGCCATTTCCATTCTCGTACCCCGTTCTCGCTACCGGTCTCTGCTACACACCGAGGGTACTGCCTGTTATCGCGAGCATGAGCGCAACACCCGACTGTTTCCAAGTTAATTAAAAGCATCGATCAAACTCGATAGTCTTCTCGTGACGACTAGAGATCGTCGTCGAGTGATAGATCATCGTCGCTCGCTATTACCGTTTACTCTTCGCCGTTTAATCCTTCGCTCTCGCTAAATAGCACGTTAAGACTCTCAGCACCGTTCGCGTGACTCGCGTGCGAGCGCAACTTCTGTACAACACCGAGGAACAGCGTGTTATAGACTACTCGATGGACTAACTTCCGCCTCGTGCGAATTTTTTACATCGAAATTAGCGTTTCGAACGACGAGAAATCCCGCGCTTCTTGGAACTCGAACGAAGTTCGATTAGGCGGCGATTAAATGCGATTATGAGAGCGTCGAGACTGACGAGAAAGAGAAAATTAAGCAAAGAGATCCGCGACTGACGTTTCGAAAGGAGTTCAGGAGTCGTAAGGGTAACATTGCACGTTGAAACCCGTTGGAATTACTGATTAAAGATAAAAATGGAAGAACTCGATGACCTCTTTCCGATTTGTCCGCTTCTCCCGCGAGAAAGTCTCGTAGCCGCGAGACGGTGCCAAAGCGCGTAGACATTCGTCGATTCGTAGATTGTAAGATCGTTCTTTCGATTCTTGCGAACGTACGACGTAAACGAGCCATGTAACGATCAGCGACGATCGTCTGTACGAACCAGCTTAGATTCGAGCCGAACACGTCAATTTCCGTGCCGTACCGATCCGACGATCTTTTGAACCGATCGGGCGCGCACCTTCGCGACTTTCGTTCCGTTTGTTCCGAGTCGCCGTACTTAACCGCGAGCGATCATGATTCGCGCGAGTGCCGCAACGGTGGCATATCGGTGAACCGAGTCTCGATACGCCTGTAACGAGTTACAAACGAGCTAATCGTGACGAATGGAACCGATGTCGATACCGAATAGCAAAATATATACAGAACGATGTACGAATGTGTGCAGAAAGCGAATACGAGAAACACGAATTAGCGTTGAGTCCTCGAGGACACCATGTATCAAAAGACGAGCGTATTTCGTAGACGAGAACCTCCTCGACATCGGGAAAATTCGCGGATGATCGGTGACTCAGCTCGCGCTGAATCTTGTTTCGTTGAGAATTTCCATAGTCTACGATTCCAGTTGCCTAGATACAGCGATTGCATCGAAATTTCCGGTGTCGAGGGGTTAGGTTGCTGGTCTGCTATAGAATCGAAACCGCCATCGAGAGTCAACACTCGACGACGTCTGTAGCCACTTCCGTTCGTGGCCACGATATTTGGCAGAGTCCTGCGTGAAATTCCAGGCATCCTCTCCTTCTCTGTCTCTCCTTCGTCCATGTTTCTGCACCTTTTTCTCTCTATATATCCACATTTTGCGCACGTAAAATAAACCACGGTCCTTGCTCTCTTTCTCTCTCTCTCTCTCTCTCTCTCTCTCTCTCTCTCTTTCTCTCTCTTTCTCTAACTGACTTTCTCCCCCTCCCCCCTCTCTCTCTCTCTCTCATACACATACGTATACACGCACGCTCTTTCGCGAAGAGAAATAGAATGGTAATTAGGATGATTAACGCGGCGATTTATCGTTGTACCCGGATAAAGAATCGGTTTTGGTCTCTGCGTGGCAAGTGCGTTACGAAGCCAGTGCCAGGAAATATCGCGACCCCGTGCGTTTCGCAAGTTACCAGGACGACGAGAAGAAATTGGAAAAACTGGGCAAACACGTGGGGAGGGGGGGCTGGGGGTAGAAAGAATCGAACGCGCGCGCGCGAGGATTTTAGAAAAGAGAAAACGAAAGGAAGGAAACATTGTAATATTTGTATATAGCCATGTTATTGTGGTAAAGAAGAATTACCTATATTATTATAAATATTACGCATATACATACATATATACGTGTACATATATGTTGGCGCGTATACGCGCATGCGTACGCGTACGCGCGCGCGTGTACGCGCGAGCATATTCTAAGTCTGTAATGCCGTTACGTTGTTGTACCATATTATTGTGAACACCATTTCTCAGACATCGATTTTTTTAAATAAAAAGAAAGTCTCTATCGACATGCACTAAGTACCAAGCAGAGTATCCGTCGAAAAAGTTATCCACCGCACCGAAACGATCCGGTTTCTCATCTTAACGATTTAGCCGCGCGGCTTTTTCGCCTCGTCTCGTCCTGACCTGCGTCGCCTTCGTACGCTCACATTATAGCGCTTTCACGCTCGGATTCACACCGTTGCGCTCGTTTCGTCCTTACTCGATTTCCGTTCCGCGAATCAGCGCGAGTCCAACGTACATCGACTTTCCACCGCGCGTGGAAACGAACGAAAAACAAACAAATAAATAATAATATTAATAATAATTATAATAATACTAATAATAATAATAAT